GCGCACAAAAGCTGCTGTCCACATGGGCATGTGAGTGTCATTCGGCTTCCCACTTTGGCATGGGCCTAGGAGACACCAAGGGTCTCATGACTAAAGGAATTCCAAAGCAGGAAATGAAACACCCGTTGTCTCCGCCGAACTAACTACGTCAGAAATTCACCGGTGCTGACAGGGCCCAGAATGGCTCACAAAATGTTCTATAGCTGACATCCTGCCTTAAAAAAAATAAACACGCCCCAAACCCAGTCACAGGCAAAGGTCACTTTGTTGGATTTGCGTCACACACACTTTCAAATCCCAACAGATGCCTCTGGTTGCCTGTTGTGTACCAAGCCCTGGGCCATGTGGGGGCTAAAGATGACAAAAACACAGGAGCCCCTGGTCCTTCCACTCATCTTGGTTGAGATTTTAAACTTAGTGCTTTGGAGCTGCTTGTCTGGCAGTCGGAATGCTTGTCTTGGCCTCGTGTGGCACCTCTGCTGACTCTGCCCGGCATTGCTCAGCACTGAAGGTGACTAAGATCCCCGGAGGGTGGCCAGGGGTGCTGGTGGGTACCCGAGGCTGGGAGCTTCCATCAGTCACCCCATAGGAGTGGGATGGGCTTGTCCAATGCCATGTTATCTCATGGTCTAGGGATCAGCCTGTGATCATTTCAGCTGTGTTCATGCCCAATCTTTTCTCGGCCTCCCGGCCATGTGAAAGGCCAGGCAGTAGTGGGAGTGATGTTTTGACTTGTCTGTGCCCACTGATGGGCTGTCTACAGCCCCTGCCTCTGACTCAGTCCAACTAGCCCAGTTTCTCCCCACGTCTCAACCCGGCCTGGCCATCTGCTGCCTCTGGGTGGATTTTGACTCATGTAAATAGTTACCAGTGTGACTCCGAGCCAGTTGGACAGAAGCAAGCCTGTTTGGTGAGGTAGCCTGGGCTGCCAGAACAGGCGCCGCGTGACAGGGGCAGTCTGCTGTGGCATCTGCTCAGGATGGGCCTTGTTGTCATGGCACTTGAGCCAATGCAGAGTAAAGTCTGCGAGTCACATTTTCCTGGGATCTTTGCTCGGCCCCTGTAGCCTCTCCTAGGACTTGGGGACGGATCAGTCTCTTTGGGAGTAAATCCTGTGTGCTGGCGAGTATTTGGCATGAGACCAAAATTGCTGTTGACACAACAGATAATGGCATGTCTTTGGATGACCAAAACCAAAGATGTTCTGTTTGGGGCTCTACATACTAATTTAGAAAGCTTGAAAAACCAGGAAACACAGGATGAGAAACGTGCTCGTGGGGAGAGGTTGCAGGCTGGTGGCTCGCAGCCCAGTTGAGGATGTGGATGCCTTTCGGCCAGGCGTGCTCTCTGCAGTTTGCCATGGTCACCTGCACTGCCTTCCACGTCTCCCTTCTTGCTCCTTTATGTTACCTGTCTGTCCCACAGAGGACTCAGTTGTCAACCTCTGTATAAAATTAACGAGGATTTAGCCTGGAGACAAGAGGCAATTAAATAATGCTCCGTGAAGAGCTTTTAAAATACCATGTCTTTTACTGCGGGAGAGGGCAAGAAATAATACATCAGGGTTTTAAAAGAAATGCACAATGCAAAAAAAAAAAAAAAATCGGAATCCTTCCACCATCTCGTGTCATAGAGATAACCACTTTTAACAATTGGTATCTATCTTATAAAAGCATGTTAAACCTACAGATTTAAGGTGAAAGCTCTTCTCTATGTCCTGCAGAGCAAAAAAAGAGAAAAATAGTTTGAACCACCGCATTTGAAAAAGCCTCATCGCACACGAGGTTAACATCCAAGTCCACGACCAGAGGAGGTTCTGTGAAGCTCCCTTCCTTAGAGGTTCTGGACTGGAGTGAGTCCAGTGACATCCTGATGCGGTCTGGGGGTCGGTGGGGTGACTAGGACAGCTGGGCTGGCAGTGGTGGTGGGGGCGGGAAGGGTTGGGGGGCAGATGGTGACTCAGTGTTACGTGAAATTGCTTCTAGCTCTCAATTTCTCTCATCTTTGACAACACAGTCACCAACTGTTCAGGTGGATTAAGTCTGAATTATAAGGTAGAAGCTGGAATGTTTCTTCTGCGTGTGCCTCCACATTGCTCTCTGGAGCTTTGGTGGCATGTGGCAGTGGCAGAGTGTGCATGGGGTGTCTCTCCACCTGATTCCTCACTCTCATGTCTTGCCTGGTCCACGTTTCCTTTCTCAAAGTCAATGGCCATCTTGATGCAGGAGTTCTGTTCTGCTCTGCCTTCAGAACCAAGCTTAACTCTCATGGTTTATGTCGATCTGGTTCCATTTATCTAAAATCTTCACAAACAACCAAATATCCTGCTCGGGCTTTCTTGTTTTCTTTTTTTTTTTTTTAAGATTTTATTTATTTATTCATGAGAATACACAGAGAGGAGAGAGAGAGGCAGAGACACAGGCAGAGGGAGAAGCAGGCTCCATGCAGGGAGCCCGACGTGGGACTCGATCCTGGGTCTCCAGGATCACGCTCTGGGCTGCAGGCGGTGCTAAACCGCTGAACCACCCAGGCTGCCTGGGGCTTTCTTGTTGACTAAGCTTCAGTCCCTTTCTCCCTCCCCCTGCCACAAACTGGACAGTGTGCCCACCTTAGAGGCTCATTTCCCACTACCTTCCTTTGTGAATCCCTGGAAGGCTGGACATTGTTGTTTTTTTTTTTCAAACATTCTGCTCACCTCTGGCTACTCAGAGCTCTTTAGCCTTTTGCAAATGCTATTTCCTCCACTCTACAGTCTTCCTCAGAATAGCGTCTGGTTGTTTCATTTTTATTTTTCAACCAGCCTTTTCTCTTGCAAAGTTCAGATGGAAATTCTTTGTGCAAAGAGGTAGCATACCAGCATGGGTAAGAATAGAGCTGTTTGGTCAGGCACACTGCGCTCACATCCTAGCTCGGCCACTCATTAAATTCTGTTGCTTAGGGGATCCCTGGGTGGCTTAGCGGTTTAGAGCCTGCCTTTGGCCCAGGGCATGATCCTGGGGTCCTGGGATCGAGTCCCACATTGGGCTTCTTGCATGGAGCCTGCTTCTCCCTCTGCCTGTGTCTCTGTCTGTCTGTCTCTTGTGAATAAATAAATAAAATCTTTAAAAAAAATAAATTTTGTTGCTTAGCCTCTCTGAGCATCATTTTATCTGTAAAATGGGACCATGAAGTGTCTATTTCATAGGGTTGTTGAAGAATGATGAGACCATCCATGAAAGGGCTCAGCACCTGCCGGGTAAATGCCCAGTGAGTGGCAGGCAACCCTGTTATCATGGTGAGACTTCTGCAAAAGATCAAACTTGACCTGTGTCCATTCTCCCATCACTTTGTGGAACAAAGTGATCCATGTTTCGGAGTGTTTTCTGGTTCCATGCAGGTGGGTTTAATTTCAAATGACCTGTGAGCCCTTGGAAGCCGGGACTTTTGTCTCCTCCTCCCTTTCCTAGCTCTCCAAGGCTAGCTGATCACCGAGTCCCCGGATCTTGCTACACTATTGAGGAAGGTAAAATAAATACCGTTTCCCGTGTTGTGGAGAAGTACTCAGAATCCGGCTACTCCGTCTCTTGAAGTGTGTTTAAGTAGGAGGGATTTGAAATGACCGAAGGCCTGCACAATTGTTAGGCAGCTTGAGTGCTGCGGGGAACATACAGGCGCCCCAGGAGCAATACTGTGTCTTGTCACTTCTTCCCAAGGACCCAGCACTGCAAGAATCCCCTTGTAGATAGGGGCCCCTGGCTGGCCTGCTTCCTGGTCGGTAGCAGAGGGCCTCACTCGAGGGTGTGGCTGAAAAATCAAGAGTCAGCTAGCTCCCTAGCATCGAGACAGGATGGAAAGAGCATTTGTAAGCTTTTATTGTACAAGTCCCAAGCTAAGTGCTTCATTTGTGACCATTTTACTCAATCTTCCCAATGGCTCTATGAAGTGAACAGTACCCATCTTCTAGAAGAAACTGAAGCAAAACCTAGGCTCATAGAAATTATGAGACTTGCTGAGCTAGGACATGGCACAGCTGGGATCTGAACACAGAGCCCAGGCTCTTAGCGCCTGTGGTACTTCTTATATGGTCTGGAGTCTGACTCTCTGCTCTTTGTATGGCTTTGTCATGGGAGAAATTGGGTATCTAGTGGGCAGTGCCTCACACATGGGGCTCCATTTTGAGTGGGTACATGGAGATAGGGCAGAGGTCCACACTTCCTTGTCTCTTCCTGGGTCATGGAATGTTGAGGCTGAGCGATAGTGCTGCTTGAAGTCTGGTACTGGATGGGTGGGGCTTCAGTAGCTCCCTTGGCTAGTCAGATTATAAAATGTTGCAAGGAAGACAAAAATGTGCGGAGAGGGCTTCTAGGAATTGGCCTGGACAAAGCCTGGGATATCAAGAGGGCAGATTGCCACCAACCTCCTTGGCCCTGCATCTGGCTCTAGTTAAGGTCTCTGCTGTCATCTTGGTTAGCCCAGATTCCTGGGGTGAGGGGGTATGTATAGGCTGACTCATTGTCCTTGGCTGATTCAACACTAGCCATGATTTTTTGGAGGAGACCCCAGACAACCATCAGCCACTGGAGGTCCAACCACCATCCCGAGAGACTGGTCCAACATAATCCAGTCTACTCTTCAGAAATAATAGTGAGGCCTTGGGGGCTGTGTGAGTCATCTCTGGCCAGGTGGGAAGACAGGCCCAAGGGAGGCTAGTGAGAAGTGGTGGGAAGTGGGTCTTAGCTTTGTTTCTATTTTATTTGAAATAAAGTTACCCTAAGAAAGACCTACAAGATCACTCATCAGTGGGTTTTAAAGTAACGGATGGGAGCACATTCTTCCCAACCTCCGACCCCACCCCTGTCCTGCAAATTTCATTTGGCACTTTAAAGACCTACCTTTTCCCAGCAAGAAAAGAAGAAAGGTCTTCGAACATCTCTGAGGTTTATGCACTTCCATCTTGCTGGAAGAGAGTTTGTTGTTGACAGCTTTATTTTCTGGTTTCTTTGTGGGGCTGCAGAGGAACATTAAAGGAATAGAAATGCCACTTACACTAGGAAAGCGGGGGCCCCACATTGTACTGGAGGAAACAAAGTAGCCCTGAGCACAAATGAACAGAACACATCCATCTGGGGACAGGAAAACAATCAAGTGGATCTGATTTTCTTTGGGAGGACTCCTCACCTTTTCCTGAGAGCTGAGACTGTTATAGCCCAAACTCAAAGCTGACCTGGGGGTCCTCGAATTCTCTCTTGCCATGCGGGCCTTAAGAGCCACATCATTTCACTTTCAATGACTTAACACTCTCTACTGTTCTCTGGCTTATTTTTGGGCCATCAGTTTTGCCTTTCCCAAAAGACTCATGTCCTTGGGGACAGATCCCTCTTCTTACACTTCTATTCCCCACATAGCACCTGACCCAGGGTAGAACACAAGCTGGGTGGTTCAGTACTTGGCTAAAAATGCCTTTTCCTCGCTTTGGAGTCATAATGATGGAATAAATACGGTAAGATACTTGGTGGTGAATCCATATGTACCAAGTTGGTGAGTACATATTATAGCAATGACCAGGAGGGAGGATCACTTCAAAGCAGACTTTATGCCCTGAGATGTTCACTGGTGTGTTGTTTGTAATAGCAAAAAAAGTGGAGACATGTAACTGTCCCTCAGTAGGAGAGGCTGGGTCAATTAGGGTATGTCTGCGCATACAGGGAGATAGTAAGCAGCTATTTTGAAAAATAGGGTAGAACCAAATGTTGAAAAATGGTATCTAAGAAAAGTTAGATGGTAGGATGCAATTTATATAAAAGGGAAAGGGATGCATGTACACATGTGATACATACACAGAACAATTTTGGAAGGATACACAAGAGACTTCATCTTGGTTCTGGCTGGGTAATGACTGGAAAAGTAAGGGGTGGGTGCTTTTGTCTGTTACTTAATTTTTCTGTCATTGGTTGAATTTTTTTATTATGAGTCTATTGTTTTTATATATAGAGAAAGTAACTAATTAGAAAAACAAGCTATTTTTGGATGGCAATGAGAAAAGTTAACTCAAAAAGATGTCCTTCCCAGGGTGGGGGTCCCAGGGCAAGGCAAGAGGAGGGTGAAGTAGGGTGGGGACAAGGCAAGTGGCCATTGGCCCTCTCTGCTCCCGGTCTGCAAGCCAAACCAAACAACATTCCAGCTCTATCCCATGAGATGGAGACCACGTGGAGCATGAGAATGTTCTGAATCACAGCCTATGGGGTGATTTCATTTAGAACTTCCGGGACATTCACTGACCCTGCCACAGATGCCACCGACCCCACCCTGGATGTGGGCCATAAATCCCTGCAGCACCTGACACAGCACTGATCACATAGCTAGGGACTTTGAGGTTTGGGGTAAATCTAGTTACTGTCTCACTCAAAAATCAACAATGGTTCACCACGGCTTGTTGTATGAAGTGCAGGTTTACCTTGGCTCTGCCTTGAAGGCTCTTCTGTGATCAGCCCCAACATCTTCAAACTCATGTGCTAAAACTTCTCATTATCTGTCCACATATACACCAGCCCTGTGTGGGTTCAGCCCTGGCTTTGCTGCTTACCCTTCTGTGCCTCAGCGTCCTCCTCTGGAAAATGGGAGGATTTTAACAGCACCCACATCATAGGGTTGACATGGGAATGAAATGAGTTAAGATACGAAAGTGCACATAGAAGGGCGGCTGGCACAAAGCAGATGCTACTTCAACGTTGCCTGCACCTATCATGCTCTCCCACCCTCGCTCCATGGTTCTGGCTGGAACACTTTTCCTGCTCAGGTCCTATCCATATTTCAGAAGCTCTCTCAGGCAGGGCCTAATCCTTAACATCCCCGCCCAGGTAGCAGCGGTTCTTGGGCTTTCAGAATCACCTGGGGAACTTGGCAAAATGCAGATTCTTGTGTTGGACTCTTAGAGACTCACTCAAGTCTGCAGCGTGGCCAGAAGCCTTCACCCGTGTGATACCCAGGCACGTAGTGCGGGGCCACAGCCGGAGAAGCAGGCTCTAAGCTGGCTTCTCCTTTGGACCAGTGAGCAGTGTGTTTCCATCCTTTGGCCCTTCCCAACCTACTCGATGTCTTGGCCTCATAGCTGTACTCCTTTCAGCGTTGTCAAGAGGTGCAGCAAGCAGTGAGCGGATGCCCAGAGAGGTCAAGCATGCTTGGGAAAGGAGAGAGCTTCTTCAGAGAAAGAGGCCTGGGTGTCCTCTGTGGGAAAGCCTATTAAATGCCCTCATGTACTAAAGCCTCCACTTAAAAGCTAATCTCTTTCCTCAAAAACCACAAGCTGCGTGTTCCTTGTAGGTCCCCAAGTGTTTGCACTTTGAGCTCTGTGAAATCGGGTCTGGTGCAGGCAGCCACCACGTTCCCCTTCTGGAACTCTGCAGGCTGCTTCAGAGATGGGCTAGAAATGTTCTATTTTGTTATTTTTTTTTAAGTTTCCTGAAAGCCCAAGAATCAGAAGGGAGTGAAAGCTTCCGCTGATCAACAGGAAACCCTCCCTGCTCCCCAACTCTGCCCTGGGAATCTCACAGACTTCCTGAAGTTAAAACAAACACTGTGACCAGTTTCTACTCCTTGCAAGAATTTAATTCTTCCTTTAATATAAATAAGGCAGCATGAAACACTGAGAGCCCTGTTGCTTTCTGCTTCAGAAGCAGCTTTGGTACAAAAAAGATCCCCCCTGTCCCGCTAAGTTGTCATCTCTGCATAAACAAGGGGCCAGAAGGTAGTTTTTCAGTGAACTTTCCCCTGGAAGCCAAGGGGAAGCCGAGGGAGGTTCAGGTTCGGTCTTAGCTTCTGGAGGCTGGTTCCTGGCTGGGGGTCTCCTCTAAGCACAACGAGATAAGGATGAAAGGGGAAAGGCAAGGCACGGGCAATAATAAATACGGAAATTCCCCCCGATTCTGGAAACACATCACAACTGAATGGGGGTGTGGGCTGCTGTTGAGGGTCATGTGAGCTTAATCTTTCCTGGCAGCACTGGGCCACTGTGGTGCTGGGGACACACAGCGCAGTCTGACTGCAGCTCACGTGGAATGGTTCCTACAGGCTTCAGCACCCCATCACAGCCGAGGCTCCTGCTGCCAGTGAACCCTGTCAGGCAAACCGTCCATCTTCCAGAACCCTGGGGCCAGGTGAGAGCACCCTTAGGGAAGGGACAGGATCCTCACGGAGAGCCTGACACCCCTGTGGAACTGGGTATGCTGTCTGGTAGGCATGGCCAGCTTGAACCCCAGAGCAGATCCCAAGTGCTGGTTCAGGCGTTCTTGGCTTGCTGCAAGGGTAATGAGGCAGTGTCATGAGAGAAAGTCCCAAAGGGCCAGTGAAGCCACAGGTGGGGGAGGAGTGGCTTCCCAACCCCCCCTACACAGGCCCGGAAATAGGCTCGCTCCCACTGCTGGCTCTGGTGCCTGCTCAGTGACCAGGTAACCTCTGTGGGGCTCAGGGGCTGGGTTGGCAGCGCTGTCCTTGCATGTTCCCAGGCAGCCAAGTATCTCTGGGTCTTGGTCATCTGTGTGGCTGCCAAGGCTCATCCAGAAAGGGGGGGTTCTTGTGCGGTGGGAGCGCCCCACTGGAACAAACAGGTCTTGGGGCCCATAGATGGAGCTGGGTATCCTCTTGCCTCCAGGCATGCTCGGCTCTAGGACTGGGATCTTGCTGAGGAAAACTCAGGGCTACGGTATCCCTCATTTCTCAGCTCTGCTGTTTTCTCTGAACTGGGCATCAGAGGCAGAGCTCAGCACCCTGGGCACAAGGTTCCACCCTTTGCCCCAGTCACCCTGTGTCTCTTGCAGCTTCCATCTTCAGTATCTGCCCTCCCCCACCACACAGATGATCAGAGACCAGCTGTTGGAGCTTGTCCCTAGGATGGTATGTGGCACCAATGCCACTCAGGGCACAGCACCCTGGGGGAAGGGGTGGGGAGAAGGGGGCGCACCTTGAGCGAGACACGTAGCTAAAAAAGCGGCCGATCGAAACTTCTCTCTGCCACCAAGTACCCACTTCTGTGCAACAAGGACATTGGCCCCTCTGGGCCTTGGACTTCTCCTATGTCTTTTCTCCAAATAGTTTAAAAAATGGCAGCCACAGGTGGGCCCCTCCTGTGCAGGCTGGAGATGGAAGGTTGCAAACTCCCAAAACTGCCCCATCCTGTCTTGGCTGTAGATACAGCCTCAGGGTGCGGGGTCTCAACACGTGTCCCCATCAGCACTCCTGGAGACCCTCTGTTGATACTCAAGTAAATGTAAAAGTCACACCCAAGTCGATGTTTGTGCTGCCTTTACCTCAGTGACCAGAGAGTATTTCAGTTGTCACCTTGGCCATATGGGGTGATCCAAAAGTAAGCTGCAAAGGATCAACCAGACCCAGACAATAGCCTCATCGGTAGGCCCCGGCGGCACGAGGGCAAAGCAGCTTCCGGCTTGGGGTTCTGTTTCCTCCGTGCCGCAGGGCCTGGCTTCTTTGGTGGGCTGGGCCATGGCGCCCGACAGAGCCCACCATCGTCCTGGGCCAGGGCCTGCAGATGCCCCCGGAGGTGTGGACACGTGGGATGCCCCGCGCCCTGGCCCTCTGGGTCCCGGCCGCTCTACGAGACCGCAGCTTTGTGGGGCAGGCCGGCGTGGTCTGAGGGGATGTGCAGGGAATACTCGCTGATGAGCACCGGCGCGTTCTTCAGCATCTCATAGAAGGAGTCCACCGTCTTGCGGTAGAGACTTCGCTGCAGGACGAAGGGCCTGAAGAGGTTGAGAGGCTCGGCCCGGCGAACGGCCTCCGGGAGTCCCATGCCGTCGGGCACCTTGTGGTTGCCAATGAAAAAGTGATGGAGCTTCTTCTCCAGCAGGCTCTTCTCCAGGAAGCGGAGCAGCTCCCGCAGGCGAGCGTCCAGCTGCCCGGCCTTCCAGTCGGCCGGCCGGCGGCGGAGCAGGAGGTGCAGCAGGGCCGTCTTCAGGTGGTAGCTGCCGAGCCCGCTGGCGCCGGTCAGGCGGCTCTGCTTGGAGAGCAGGAAGGAGGCGATCTGCAGGCAGCTGAGGTGGCAGGCGCCCTCAGGCAGGGCCTTCGAGGTCACCCTGAGGAAGTGCCGCTCGTAGACGGCGAAGGACAGGAGCCAGTCAGTGCTGGACGCCGGGGCCTCCCCCGAGGGCTCCCTGGGAAGGTGGGAGACAAAGTACAGGTCCGAGTCGTCACACTGGATCACAGGAATCAGGTTGAAGGGCATAAACTTCCCCGAGCGGAACCTGATCTTCAGGGAGCCGGGGCGGTCCAGCTGACCAAAGGCCAGGTCGAACTCGTACTTGTGGGCGATGCGGTGCCAGGCCCGGGTGAGGGCCCTCTGGAACCACTTCATGACCCGCATCGCGTCCAGGTACGGGGAGTCTGCGGCGCACAGCAGGCTCTCCAGCTCGCCGCCGGGCCGCGCCACGCTGCTCCTGCCGTGGAGGAGACACAGCATGTCGTCCCCGAGCGTGGTCTTGCCGCAGATGCAGCCCAGCGCACCCTCATCGGCCCTGACCACCTTGATCTGGCCGTAGCCCTGGAGGCCCAAGGGCACCGAGCGGCGGGAGCAGCAGAGCTCCGGGCGGAAGTGGTAGGGCTCGGGGGGCATGAAGGGCACAAAGAGGTCGCACAGCAGCGGCCTGTCCACCTGCCAGTTCTCGTACATGCTGTCCACGCCGATGAAGTCCTCCAGCTCCATGTCCGTGTCCCGGTTGCAGAGGCTCCTCAGGGCTTCCAGCAAGTCATCCACGAAGCCTTCCACGAACTCCCGGGTGCGGGCCGCGTCGGCCGTGGCGCCCCGGATGCAATGCTCATAAAAGTGGTGGAGGGTGGCCTTGTTGGGCAGGGTGAGGCCCCGGAGCGGGGCGCCCTCCAGGCCGGGCAGCTCGTCCTCGTCCCCGCCCAGGCACTCCGGGGAAGGCCCGTCCTGGTGGTCCTGCCGCCACACCTCGATCACCAGGAAGAGGATCATGCAGAGGGTGCTCCACAGGTCCCAGGCTGTGCGATTCTCATTCTGCTGCTGCCCTTCCTCTGCCACGTGCTCCAGGGCCTCCTTCTCAGCTGCCAGCCGGGCCACCTCCTCCTCCAGGCGGAGCTGCTCCAGCTGCAGCTTCTCCTGGTGCGCCTGCATCTTGCGGATGATCTCCTCCTCGTTCTCGGGCACTGTGGCATTCTCCCGGGGGAACAGCAGTGGGTGGTTGATGATGGCTGTCACCACCACCAGACACACCCGGAAGAGCTCCAGAGCCATGGCTGGAACTTTCCTGCCACACAGAGAGACAGATCAGTGGTCACACCGAGCTTCCCTCCGTGCCACTTCCTCCCCGGACCGTCACACCAAGCTCTGTCCCACTGCGTCGGTGACTGTCTTGCAGGTCTTCTCCCGCTCAGCCTGCAGTCCCACCTCCTCCCCCACTGCTGTGTCTCAGCGCAGCCTTGGAAGAGGGAACTACAAAGTCACACACCAGCAATCCTGGCTGAGCAACCCATGGAAGCTGTCCTGTTTCTGGAGGCACAACCCACTTTGGCCAGGAGCCAACTCTTTTCAGTGGTCCCTGTCCATGATCGGGTGGGGATAACTCCAACTCCAGCCTCAGGGGTGAACATATAACCCAGGCCCAAACTATTCCACACCCCTGACTCCACAGTGTGGATTCAGGGAGGAGCATAGGACCTCACTCCGGCCAATGTGAGAGACACAGAGAGATAGGATGTGCTGGGGCCCATGGGGAGAAAGACGGCCCTGGGGCCTAGGTTTGCCAGGGAGCAGGATCATCGCGGCTCATGGCTCTCCAGCTCCCGCAAAGGGGGGTCTGCTTGAGAGGGATGCCAACATAGATACAAGCAGACTCCTTGGATCCAGCTATGCCTGAAGCTGCTGCCTCTGGACTCATAAAGTCATGTAAGTCCATAGTTGCTTTGCTTTAAGTCAGTTGAGCTGTTTTCCTATCACTTCAACCCACCTCCCCCCAGTGAATGCCGTAGCGAATGTGACTTTGCTCGAGGCAATAAAACCTAGTGGTTAAGAATAAGAAGGCTGAGTTCCAAGGCCAGCTCTGTCACTGATTAGCTGTGTGCCCTTGGACATGTTAACACACCTCTCTGAGACCCATTTTCCTTAATGGACAGGAGGAAAGCTATATGTAGTAACCACAGGGCGCAGTATTGAGGGATGTGGTGACCTACGCAAACTGCGTACACAGCACACATTTGTTGAATGGCAAGTGTTTTTGAACCAGTTTTGGGTCCTTGTCTTCCCCCACTGCACACCTCTCCTTCTGATCTATAAGGCCTCATCCAAATTCAGACACTGACCTCCTGGACTTTTCCCAGGTCTCTCCCCAGAGCAATCTTGGATATAACCAGAGTGACTGAGTCATTGGATTTCCTTTCCTCTCATGAGTCGTCTAAACTTAAATCTCACTTCTTAAAATTGTGTCTCCACATGCCATTCCTCCAGGACAAATGGATTTTTAGATCTCAAGCCACCCCTTATAATCCTGGGAGTTTTTTAGATACGCTGAACCTGGGGCTTCATCCTGGGTCTGTTGAACCGGAATCTGCATTTTAATATCATCCCCATTAAAGTTTGAGAGGCACAGTCTTATGGGGTAAGCCTCACATTATACCCTCTCCTCTCCCAGAGGGGAACCTTGCCAAGTAACAATGGGCCTTTCCCATGCTTTGCCCTGCCCCCTTTCTGCCTGGGACCTCCTCTAGGAGAGCAAATGGCCAAATGAGGTTGTTGTTGGACTACAAAAGACACAGAAGGTTCCCCTGGCCACCCCCCAGCCTCATATGCCAACACGCGCTTCTCCACATTGCTTGAGCCCCATTCCCTAACCTTGCATTTACACCCTTCCAACCACTTGTTTTGGTTCTTACCCTAATGGTGCCAAGAACAGGTGTGTGTCATCAGGTGAAGACAGCTCTGCAGGTCCTAGCCAGCAGTGCCAGGATGTACACGACCCAGGTTGCCACAGGTGGGTAAAGCCTGCTTCTCAGATGTGATTCTATCCCACACATAGCTGGACAACTAACAGGAACCAGAAGCGGGATCCAGCGGTAGCAGAATTCAGCGTGCACACATATTCAGGCCCCAGAGGTGGACTTGAAGAGGAGAGGGAGGACAGGAGAAAGTGCAGGAAGTCAGATCGGAAGGGGTGTGGGGTGAGGAAAAAGTCCAGGGGGAAGCTAGCCAGCTTTTCTTCCCTAAGACAAGGAGTGGCTTGCTGGATAATTGCAGAAACAGGTCAGCCCTGGTTTCCACACAAGAGAAACATCAATGGAAAGTTTTGCCAGGGTGGTCCAAGGCAAAGCCACGAGGCTGGCTTACGAATGTGGATCAGGGCTTTAAGATAAAGGTGTGCAGTGCTAATAAGCACAGCACCAGGCAGCAGCCAGCTGGGAGAGAATTTGGAGGTTTTGAGGCCCTTGAGGGCCTCTGTACTATAGGCAGTCCCCTTTGGGCACAGCAGACCCTGACAGGTCACAGTAGTAGTGTGGTGGTCCCTGACCCAGGAGGTTGGTCTCCACGCCAACTCAGGGTAGGATGCCAGCAATTGGGTAGTGGTGCCATCGTCAAGCCTCCTCTTTCCCCAACAGCTTCCACGGGGCTACCTGTGTGCATCCTCGTGCCTTGTTCAACGGCTGTAATGGCCTCCTTGCACTGGGACAGGCAAGGTTCAGAGCTCCAGACCAAATGGAGCCATCGACTCTATATGGAAGGGGTTAGGAGGATGGATTTTGGATTCTTGGCACGTACTAGCTCTGTGACCTTGGACAAACCACCTAACTTCTTAGACTCTCAGTCTATTCATCTGTGAAATGGAAGATGATGTTGGAAAGCATGAACAAGATCATGCATATAAAGCCCTTAGCGAAATCCTTGCCCCTGAGCAAGTTTATAAAAGGGTCTCGGAGATGGGATGGGGAAACGCAAGGGCCCTGCCTGTACAGTTTCCTGATGGGCCATGCAGATGCCCCTACCAGGTACCCTGGCAGGAGGCAAGCAGCCCACAGTAACACTGACAGGAGTAGGGTTACAAGACCCACCCGAGCATGAGGGAGATGAGGTAGCAAAGTGGAAGGAGCCTGGGCTATAGAAACAGACAGGCCTGGGTTTGAAACATGACTCTATCCTTGCCCAGTGGTCTTGCTTCATGGCACCACTGCTTTACCTTTGAGATGGAGCTAAGAGAAGATCCTCCTTCCCAGGAAGGCTGAGTTAAGGGAGATAATCCAGTTCAGGTGCTTGGCACAGTGCCTAGCACAGAGTAGATGCCCTACATTAGCTCCTTCCCTCTAGGCTTCCACGGGCCTCTGTTTTCTCACCTGCTAAGCACCCCAGCCCTGCCAAGTGCTAAGGGGTGAGGAGGAAAGCACGCTCAAAAGTGCTTTGAAAGCACAAAATGCTCCTCTAGCATAGCTGTCCCTTGGCATGTCACTCTGCCCACCCTGCCCCCCAGCAAAGGGGAGAAGCCTTTGGAGCCTTGGATCCTCTTGGAGGTAGAGTCTGACTCACGTCAACTCCCTCCCAGGGATCAGATGAGATCCCAGTTGTCATTTTGCTCCTTTTAACATCTGGGCAGGCAGGCTCTGCCTACGGCACCCTAAGGGGTGGGTAACAGGCTGTGGCTGCTCAGTGCTCACTAGATGGGGCAAAGTTGGAACCTCTACTTCCCCTCCCCAAACCAAGCCACAGGGAACACTCCCCTGGGGGCCACAGGGCCAGAAGAATAAGGAGAAGGAACCAGAGTGGTGTGACTTTTATTGGAGACCACAGGGACAGGCAGGTATCTGGGAGCCTCTCCCCAAACTGTGGATACACATACATGTATACACACACACACCCCTTCCCAAAGAGCCCCTTTCCTCTCAAATTGTCCACTTCTGTGTTGGCCCAAGGCTCTCACCCCATGAGGCTGCCCCATACACGTGGCCTGAGCATCCAGTTGGGTTTGACTTGAAAATTAACTTGGGTCACTCCTCAGGTTTTTGTCTGTCTGCTTGCCAGGAAGGCAGCAGGAAACCTGCTGAGTTCCTCTCCACCCCCGCTCCTGTCCACAGAGTGTGGTGGCCCATGCAGGTCACAGCTAAACTTAGCCTGGCAAAGAGCCAGGGTCATGAGGCAGCAGGGGCTGGGGCAGAGGGCTGCAGATGGTCAGGTCAGCCTGGACCATTGGTTTTCTCAGACCCTTATTCTGTGCCTGGCCAGAAGCCTCAGACCCTCCCTATCCCCTGGGGTCAATCACTCCTGCATCCCCCAGAGCCCTCCAGCACCCCAATCAGAGCTTAATCCAGTGAATGCCACTAGGAGTTGTCTAGTAGAGATTTGTTTCTGTTTATCAAACCCTCACTAGGCTGTGCTGGGTACACTGTGACCCCCTTCCAAGTGGTAGGTGGTATCCCTGTTTCACAAACCTGTTAACCAAACCCAAGAGACGAAGCAATTCTCTAGCACACGACTAGAAAAGGCACAGCTGGGTTGAGATACTGTCTGTTCTGTTTCCACCCAGAAAGTCCACGTACTTTCCACCCTGCTGTGTTTTCAGAGCACCTACTATGCACAAGGACCATGAGCCCAGCCTGATCCCAGGCACGGAGAGCACCACAACCCTTATGTGGAGGCAGACAGCCACCAAGGCCTCACAGGACTTGAATGGGCTGGGGAGCGTTAATGGCACATGAGCAGTAGGCTATGAAAATGCAGAGGGAGTTTCATTTCTGTTCTTTGGGGACCCTTCCTTGTCTGTAGACCTTCCCTGTGTCCCCCCTGCTGCAGAGACGTGGCTGTGCTAGCTTTTGGCTCCACATCGGTGAGAGCAGTGAGAGCCTGTTGTCCAGCCCCGCGTGTTCATCAACACCCCTTCTAACCTGTCACCCACCTACCCCCCCACCTCGGGGCTGGGTGGCTGTGGCCTCAGCAGCAGAGGCACCCAGGACCCATTTCTCAGCAGCCAGCAGTCCCCTGGGACAGTGGTTCTCAAAATGTAGCACCATGATCATCTGGGAACTTAGACATGCAAATGCTCAGATGCAATCCCAGTCCTGCTGATCAGAAATCCCAGGGCTGGGGCCCAGCACCTATGTCGCAAGGAGCCCTGTGGGTAGTTCCAGCACCCACTCAAGTCTGAGAACCAGCCCTGCCCAAGCCAGGCAGGCCTCCAGGAGGAGGAGGGTGCGGCTCCTGCGGTGCCCCTGCAGCCCAGAATCCTGCAGCTCGCCAGAGCTCTGCCCCCACACCCAGCTTGTCAGATGCAATTAGCTCAAGCGGCCCTAGCGTCATCGTCAGAGCTAAAAGGAACAGCTGAGTGGTTTCCTTATAAATAGAATAAAGGAAGGTGGGTTGATGGCAGGGGAAGCCACCTGTAGCCCAGACCCTGGGGGGTTTCTTGGGTCCCTCTCCTACTGCTGAGACTCTGCACCCTCTGAGGAAGAAGAGGCCAAAGAAGACAGAGCTGTCATTAATTTTGGGCTGTGTGCCTGGTCTTGAGCTGGACTTTCTCAGTCCCAGCTGGCAAAGTACAGGACTGTTTGGGGGAAACCAAGCCACAAATTTAAGAAAGTCAGAACTTAGTGTATGCTCGTCTAAGCCCCATTTTACAGATGAGGAAACTAAAGAGACCTAAAGAGGAGACTCCTCTGAGCAGGAGTGGGGCGGGGAGGGTGTGGTTCAGGCTGGTGGGGTGAATCCCACATGGAGAGACAGACAGGCCAGAGAAGTGGCGGCAGGTGCCCTGCAACAGATGGTATGCATGAAGCTAAGCACTCTCAGTATATTTTGTCATTCGATTCTCGGAACATTAGTTCCATAGTTGCAACATCCTACCTTGTGAAGAGACTGACGGTCAGAAAGACCCACTGTGTGGCTTCTCAGATTCCCTGTCTGCAGGGAGCCTGTCCCCCTCCCTCAGTGCTCCCTCCATCCTCCCAGGGATGAGTGAGCCCTGCCACCTCCCAGGTATCACGGCCAGGCCAGCGGCAACCACTCAGATCATCGGGAAACTACTGTAGGAAAGGACTATTGAATGCACAGCACGAGTCTGACCCTGTGTCTGTCTTGGGGGTGGAGTTTGGGCCCCGGAGAGCAAGAGAGCAAGAGAGCAAGCAGTCTGTCTGAAGCCCTGGTGAGGCTCTCCTGGGGTCTGGCTTGTCTGATCCCTGATTCCATGCCACTTTCTAGCCCAGCCCATGCTGCGCCCTGGCGTCAAACAAGCTTCCCTGCCCAGCCCAGGGGCCCCTCCTCAGGGAGGACAAAATACATGCAGAGTAAGGAAGGGGTTTGTGGCTCTCACCGGCAGGCCTCCCTCGCCCATCTCAGAACTCCTGCAGCTCAGGCCACCTTCCCACTCCCCCTTGTGTCACTTTGCCCACCAGTCCCTGCCTTCTTGGCTACAGTTCTAGCAAGTTCCCAAAGCTGAATGTCCTCTCGCCTCCTCCAGGGCACCAGGCTTCGGGCAGGACATGCAGCAGGCACCCAGTATGCCAGTCAGAGCTGATTTATCATGCATTAGGGAGGAGATGGCCACTGCGGGGATGACATGTCTCCACAAACTCCTTTTTCTTCCCCTCAGGGCTGGGGGTGGGGTGTAAACAGACTCATCCTAGATGGCTCCCACCCTTTCAGGACAGGAGTCTCCTACAGGAGAGGAGAAAGGCCTTGCAGCCTGGCCCACGCCCCAGTGAGGGCATCTCTTGCTGAGGTTCCTCTTTGCCTGCACCCCAAATGGAGGAGGTGGGGTAGGGGAAAGGCTGAGCAGCACTGGGGAGGGGGCTGGGGCCTAGGGCCTCAAGCCTGGGTAGATGGAGGGCAGGCAAAGAAAGGAAGTGAGGAAAGAGGAAGGAAGAGAACCAACAAAGCATAATTGAGAAATGGGTTGAAGGGTGAGGTTCTGAGCCCCCAGTGTCTCTTCTCCATGTCCTTACAGCCACCCCCATTACCTTTCACCCCGCTCCTCCCACTCAGCAGAATTTCTGTCTTGGCCTCCAGCCAAGTTCACCTTCCTCAGACCTGCCACCCTCACAGCCACTGAGGTCCTTCCGTTACCTGCTTTCAGTCACCCTTCCTGAACGCAGGGGTTGTAAGACCAAATGTGGGGGAGAGGGGTGGGGAAGGGGAGGGGTGACCATAGTAAATGGTCAAGGCTGCAGATGCTACAGATCCAAGTGATGCACATGGGGTCAAATGGGGCCCACGTGCTTTCTCTAAAGGGGAGAGCCACCACATGGCATGTGCTGTGTGTGGAGAATGGCATGATCTATTTTTTTTCCCCCAAGAGAAGCCAGAAATCTGGATTTTATCAACATCCCTCAATTTTACAATGTTGGGTGCTATTTCAAAAATTCTTTGAAAACCATGGAAGCCACACAAAGTATGTCAGTGGGCCATCTAAAGTCCATGGGCCCTGGTCCACAAGCCCCCTTTATGTGCCTTCTTTCTCCTATTCACCGGAACTCCCCACTTCCTCAGCATCCTCAAGGCTGCCCTTGACCTTGGGACTCTCCTCACTCTTCCTCCTTGGCAATACGACCATCTACTATTTCCTCCGTGAATAGGACTCCCTGAAATAGCCCCCCTGGCTCGACCTTTCTCCCCAAACCCGGTCCTGATTGTATTCCAGCGTCTCCCAGTCATCCCAGCAGCCGCCCCCAGAATAGTCATAACCGGCATTTATGAGGGCTGGCTATGTGCCAGGCCTTCTCCACAGCCTCTCCAGGGACTAGAAGAAAGCAAACTGTGGCCTAGTGGGTGTGCACTAAGGAGCACCTGGTATTACTGTCTAAGGTCTACGGTCCCCAGGACTGGAGAACTGGACCCCCACCGCCCCTCCCTAACCCAGGGGACCTGAGTGAGCAGGGACCTGGGCTCAGAAGAAGCAGGGGTCAAGACTGTACCCCGGTAGGGTTGGGGGAGAGAACAGGGAGGAGAGAAAACTCCCCTCCCTGCCATGCCCAGTAGAAGAGAGCCCATGGCAAAGTTTAGGCTGGGAAAGGAACAGCCTTCTCACCAAGGTGAGCTCTGCTGTCATCGCCCCGTGGCCGCACTGGCCAGACTCACAGGGGGTGCCCAGTCACACCAGCCAAAGTCACATCGGCCAAAGCACTAAGTTTCCTCAAGGCCCACTTTCAGAGGGGAGAGGTTCAAAAAGTCACCAGGAAGCCAGCCCCATCCTCTGGTCTGGGGTGAGGCAGCTGACCAGCCCGAGCGCAGGAAGGACAGGGGCCTGGATTCGGCTGCCGTGGGTGGGAGAGCCCACATCCTTCCTGTTCCCGCTCTTCCATCAGCAGCCCATACATATCCCTTGGCAAGCAACAGATGGAGAAGGCAGGGAAGCCATCAATCTCCCAGGAAGGACACGGTGTCTGACGTCCCCACAGCACGTCATGGGAAATCACCGTGTCCTGGGACAGATGGACTCCAGGGAGTCTCAGAGGCTTAGGCCCGGCAGGCCCCAGAGACAGCAAGGGGCTCCCCTGGCAGCCTTTCGTCCGGGCCCACATCCAGCTTTCTTTCACCTGTTCCCCCAGGGAACTTTGAATCCAACAGTTCCTGTGGTGGGTTGGATGGTGACCCTCCAAAAGTTAGGTAGGTCCACATGCTGACACCCAGGCCCTGTGAATGTGACTTTACTTGGAAGGAAGGGTCGGTCTCTACAGATGTAATTAAATTAAGGATCTTGAGATGAGCTCAGCCTGCATTACCTGGGTGGGCCCTAAATCTGGTGACAAGTGTCCTTATAAAGAGACGGAAAAGGAGCAAACAGACACAGAGGAGAAGGTGATGGAAGCCAGAAGCAGAGGCTGAAGCAAAGCTGCCACAGCCTGGAAGGCCTACAGCCACGGCACGCTGGACAGGACAAGGGAGTAGCCCCCTGGAACATTCGGAGGCAGTGTGGCCCTGAGGGTAATCTGATTTCAGATCGGGCCTCCAGAATTTTGAGAGGGTCCTTGCTGTTGTTTCACTCCCCAGTTTATGGTGTTTTGTCAAAGCAGCCCTCAGAGAACAACACAGTCTCGAAGCCCAACGCAGCCTCCTCGCCCCACTCTGATCCCCAGCTACCTCTGAAGCAGCCTTTCCTCTGCACCGAAGCCGGGGGCTCCCCATCCTGGCTGGCATGAGCCTTTGGAATCGGCTCCTCTGAGCCCTCCCTAACGCCCAGTCACCCCAGGTGGCCTCCTCCGTGGCCTCCTCCTCCCTGGAATTCTCCATCTCACTGGTTTCTAATTTCCATGTGACACAGGTCAGAGCTTTAAGACTGATGTTCAGGGCCTGGTCCCACCAAGCCTTGGGGGTCCCCTCCGTTCCCTTCCCACCTGCTCTGGCTACTTCAGATTACTGACTGCCCCCGAACACCTCCTACACTGCCCCAAATTCCCTGCACCGTGTCCACACCACACAACCCAAACCCTACTCAATGGTCCTCACAGCAAGCACACCTCAGAAACTGCCTCCAAGGGCCTTCCCCATCTCTCTCCACCCCTAACTCCTGAGACAGATCCTTCTTTCTTGAAAGGGAGGAGACCAAGCCGGAGTTGGGGTCGGGGGTGGGCAGGAGCAGATGGCATCTGTATTAAGCCCTTCTGAGTACAGCTAAGCCTGGTGCCTTGTGCAGATGGCATCGCCAGAGAGGTCCCATAGCAGGGACTCCCTCCACCCCCCGCCCTGCTGCCCGCTGCCCACCTCCCTCTGTAGTTAGCTCAGCTCAGGAGTACAGCGGCCCCACCTCACAGGCAGGAGCCCCTGGAGCTGAGAGGTGGAAAAATCACTCAAGGTCTCACAGGAAAAGAACAGGGGAGCCAGAGGCCATGCTAGGCCCACAGCTCCAGACCCTGCCCTCCACCTGGTTCACCCCATCCTGCTCTTTTATCACAGTGAGTTGCCTGAGCTCTGTTACCCCATGACTCCTGGGGCCAGGAAGGCTTGTCCTGACATCCCCCGAAGTGCCCGGCAGAGACCAAACAGGTGGCCTGCTCCATGCTCCATGGACCCATGCACCCTGGGGACCCACCAGTGCGCTCACATCCTGCGCTCTGGAGACACACCCGCTTTCAAAAGAAGGTATCGCACAAGTCCTCCGTTCTAGGGAAGGATGCGTTTCCTACAGCGAGCGTGCACCGAAGCGTCTCCCTTGGTCCCCAGATTCCCACCTGGCATTTCTGGACCTGAAATCACATGTGAACAGCAGAAACACAGAGGTGACCATTTCCCACAGCAAAGCAGCCCTCATCTACCACCACATGTTGGCTAGGCTCGAGCTAGTATTTCCCTGAATCTCCCTCCACCTCTGGGCCCCATCTCGCCCACAGGAGCACCAGCTGGGAAGGAACATGAACACCCACGTCAGGGGGGGATGCCGAGGCTCCCCAGGCTTGTCCCCCCTCTCTCCCTCCACCCTGTGTCCTCTATACCCCCGGCCTCCCAGCAGAGTAGTGGACGGGCAGCATGGGCAGGCTCCAAAAGCAGCAAACATGCTGCCTCGATGGGGAGGGTATCTGAGGGGCTGAGCAGGAACCGGAGAGAAAATATGAAGGCAAACAAAGTGGAGACAAAGCCGTGCCTCCGCCACCACCCTGCTTCCCCTCTCACACATGAGCTGGGGATGGATGGAATGAAACAGGCTGCTGGGCGCCACCTTCCTGGTGATCCCCTGGAGAACAGACTAGCTCATAAAGATGACCTGGCTTCTCCGGGGAGGGCAAGGGCGCCCAGGACTTTCTAAGGCCACAGAAAGGCCAGCTCCCTACCTCCTCAGTCCCCATCGGGCTCCCTCTCACTCACATCCTGGCTTGAGGGCTTCTGGCCCCCACACAGTGAAATCCCAGGCTGTCTCCCACCCTGGTCCCCTGTGGCTGGGGCAGTACTGGACACAACGCCTGGGCCCCAGCTGGGCAGGGCTGTGGGGGGAGAGGTGGGGAAGGGAGGAGCTCTGGGCCTCCTGCATGTACACACACACACAGCCTGCAAAGATCTAAAACCCCTTTCATCTTTATAAAGAGACACAAAGGCAAGATGGAGGCCAACCCAGTAGTTAAACACTTCAGAGCTTGCGGCGGGCCTCTCTGCTTGCGCTCTCTGCTGCAGGCACCTGGGCTGAACCACAGGCCCAGAGCCGGCCTGCCCTCCCACGCCAGGGCCGCCTCCCAGGGCAAACCCGTTCTCCCCGTCCAGGAAAGCAGAGGGCCTAGACTGTAGGCCAGGAACAGTGGGCAAAATTACCCCCAGAATCGTCTATGACTGCACAGAGTCCCCTTCCCCTGAATTAGACAAAACACCGACAACCACAGGAGGCAGCCACAGGGGACCAGGGTGACACCTGTGCTCTGCCCTGGCTTCTGCCCGAGGCTGCGCCGGGCACGCACTGGGTGTGCCCGAACCACAGGCAGGTACCAGCGGGTCAGGCCGGCGCGGGCAGCGGGCAGCCGCTGACACTGCCAACCTCCCGGGGACATACTCCGCCCCAAGGCCACCCAGAAACAAACAGCCCAAGGCGCTTCAGCTCAGGAGAGCTTAACACTTGGCGGAGGCTTAGTGTACAGCAGCGAAGGGGCCAGACTCCGGAATCAGAGGGCCCGGGTTTGAACCCCAAGTCCCTCACGGGCGGTAACGACGGGCATGGTGGTCACATACATGGTCGTGCTCCCTAAAGGACATGCTTATCTGCGTTGGTATGGGTCATAAGGCCAGGGCTCCCCTTTGCTCCTGCATCTTAGGGACTCTGCTGGGGAAACAGGGGTGACCCACATCCCTGCGGCACTCTAGATGCCTGGGGACTTGGCCTGGTTGTCTCCTCCGCCTCCCTGTTTCTACAAAGGCCCCAGGGGCTGCCACAGAGGGAGACAGGAAGCTTGGCACCTGGGGACCTCATAGCCTGCCACCACCCCCACCCCCCAATCTGGCAGCATCAACACTGACCCTCCTCCAGGTCCTTCGGAGCAGCTAGAAGGAGAAACCACTGTTGGTGCCTGATGTCTGGTATTACAGTGCAGGCACCCTGTGATGCTTGCTGAGTGAATGAATGACGTCAGGACTGGGGGGAAAACCTCACTGCTTTTACTCCCAGGAGCACGAATTTGAAATGGGGGTGTAGTGGGAGATCCCTGACTAAGTAACCTCTAAGTTTTTTCTTCCTGGGAACGCTCTGCAGTCAGAAAAGCAAAGTGCTGACAGTGGTAAGTGCCTTGGGGAATGTGAGCAAAAACTCTTTCAGATGCAGGCCCCCAGAGACAGACCTCAGCCACTTCAGGTCTGGACAGCCTTCGCTGAACCATAGGCTGACTCACCACCCGAGTTTACCAAGAACACAACCCAGGAATGAACCCCAACACAAGTTTATCTGACTGCCAGCTGCCTCTCCCTTTGACGCTCACTTCCTTGCTTGAGAGTCTTACAGAAATGTAAGATAAATGGAGGATATGGGATTTGAAGCAAATTCAGGAAAAGAAGCAGAGAAGCACCGCTTGATGGAATGGCAAGCAGTTTTCCCTTTCTGGAAAAGAACAGACTGGCCCTGGGGCCTTGATGCCCCATGGGAGAGTTTAAAAAGTAGCAGCCCAAGTGTGACATTTACTAAGATTTAGGCATTCTGCAAAATGCTTTGAGTCTCATCTGAAAGCAAGCCTCTACGAGAGGCAATATCTTCATTTTGCAGATAAGGAAACTGAGGCAAAGACTGGAGGGATCCCTGGGTGGCTCAGCGGTTTAGCACCTGCTTCAGCCCAGGGCGTGATCCTGGAGTCCTGGGATCGAGTCCCACATCGGGCTCCCTGCATGGAGCCTGCTTCTCCTTCTGCCTATGTCTCTGCCTCTCTCTCTGTGTGTCTCTCATGAATAAACAAAATCTTTAAGAAAAAAGACTGGAGAGGCTACTTGCGCATTATCAGCATTGGAATTTGAACTCAGGACTGACTTTCAAGTCTCTGGTTTTCCCATGATGTTGTGTTGCTCAGTGACCTAATTATCTGTGAAATATTACACGCACCTCTGGGCTTCCCTGTGCCATTTAAGGCAAGGCAGGTGACAATTTAAGTGAAATCTGGATATGAAGCAGGGAATCAGTCTAAATGAGCTTTCAAGGTCCTTCCCACCCAGAGATTCTGGGTGTGTGACCTGGGATGTCTGAGACCGCTTTTCAGCCAAAAGGGCAGTGTACTGGGAAAAGGGAGGGAGGGCCCTCTGGACACTGGACAGTGTGTTTTGTGGGGAGGCCTCAGGAAGAAAGTGGCATTTTGGGGGGGCACTCAGGGGTAAGACCTCGGCATCCCCTGTCTCGTGCCCACCAGCCCAGGCTCACTGCGGTCCCACACTCCTCAGCCTCCTGCCTCTTCACTTGACTGGGAACAAAGTCTCAGCAAACAAAGGACCTTTTCATGAACTTGAGGCGGGTCCTCTGACTGCTACTGAGAAGGCTATTGAAACAGGCTCCCAGGAGAACAGTTTGTTATGAGCACATGGTTTTGTACCAACAAGCAGGGCTAAAATTATGACAACGCCCTCCCTATGGTTTGGTGCAGGTTAGTTAGAAGGAAACTCTCCTGTTACCCACTTAAGGCAAATGACTGGGGAAGAAAGTAGGAGTAGCCCAGGACAGCTCCAAAGCTGAGCCCTCCTCCCGGGCAGCGAGTGCCCCACTCTGCCATTCACCTGGAAGAGAGTCGTTCGAAAATTGTGGGCTTTCTATTTTTTCCCAGGACTTCTGAGGATTTTATTTTTTAATTTATTTTTAAATTTTATTTATTTATTCATGAGAGACAGAGAGAGAGAGGCAGAGACACAGACAGAGGGAGAAGCAGGCTCCATGCAGGAAGCCTGAGGCAGGACTCGCTCCCAGGTCCCCAGGATCACACCCTGGGCTGAAGGTGGTGCTAAACCGCTGGGCCACCTGGGTTTAGGTTTAAAAGGTTTAAAATCCTTATCTGAGGATTTTAAAGTGCTCTGTATATTCATTCTCTGGTACTGGCTGCTATTATCCCTATTAACAGGTTGAGAAACTGAGCCCTAACTGCTAATACCAGAGTGAGTCACAGCAGAAGACCTGGGTAGGTGGTTGGCCTGGTGTCTTCTCACCTCTTGACACTCAGACTTTGTGGGATTCTGCTCTTTGGCAGGACGCAATTGATACCTGTGCCCATCCTCTCTAATGCCACTCTCCAAATCTTGGATGTATCTCAACCACTTCCGAACCCCTGTATGAACTACTGGGGAGGAAGGGATTCTGTAGCTTTAGTTTAAGCCAAGTTGAAACTGTGGTGTGCTAGAGCTGGTGAGAGGTGAGCTGTGCGACCTTGCTTCTGTTCCCAGCTGTACCAGCTCTTGGAGCTGCAGATCCCAGATATTCCTCCTCTCTGCGTGCATTTGATTATAAAGCTCCATGAGGTCAATGAATCCCTAGCACATTCGTTGCCTTGCACATTGCAGGAGCACAAGAAATATTCGAGCAATGAATGGACAGTCTCTCTTAAGTCAGTTCCTGTAGCCAGGACGTGGGCATCCTTGTTTCCCACTTTCCTTTGGGGGTGAGGGTGGAGAAAATGGGAAAGCCACTCTTCTGATCACCCTATCACTGCTCCCCTACCTACCACTCTCCCCCACCAGTTCAGGCTGTAGAAGGGAAACCCAAGGCCATGGAAGCTGCCAGAAGCTACTGTAAGATGTCACACTCTTTGCTTCAAGTCACAACTCTGAGAACTACACAAAACTGCTGGTCTCAGCACTGAGCTCTATTCCCTTGGGCCAAGCCCAAGGCCTAGAGGCCTACCACCGACTGGCTCACAGCCCAGACCTCTGAAAATGCAACCCCTACCTGCCCCCTTTCCCAGCCCCTGAGAAACACACCTGGGATGTCACACCTTCTATGCTCCTTCCCTTCAACATCAGTCCTACAGTTGGAGTGGTTCTTATTCCTCTCAGTTGCCTTAAGGTGGAGGTGTTGCCGTGGGCAACAGTGATGTCACCTTCCAGGTGCTTCCATTCTGCTGATGTCAGGGGGTGGGCCACTCGGATAGAAGGGCAGTACGCTTTCTACAAGAAAATATCACAGGTCTCAAATTCCTGAGGAGGGCCCTATAGACCTCTGAGGCACCCCCAAATGACCCTCCTCCTCTCCCAGAAGACCTCACCTTTCTTTCCCCTCTGGATGCCTGTTCAGGCCAAGCCTCAAACCTGGCTGTCCCTCCCCCAGAGCTGGTGGAAAGGTGAGGACTAGCAGCTGTGTCCTCACCTCTGAACAAACCACAGCAAGGGCACCAATGAGCAACTTCCTTCTAAGCCTCTGAGACAGTCTGGGTCCCTAAAGCCTTGTCCTTTGGCCAGACATCAGTGGCACTAATGGGGAAGCCAGAGGCCCAATTCGGCAGAGAATGTGGATCCTTGACTGAACTCAACCTGTCTTTCAGAGCTCATACTAGCCAGATAAGAAGTCGATGCCAGGTACAGGGCTTGGTGTTTTCTACACGTCCCGTGAGTGGTTATCCCCAATTTACCAAGGATGAAACTGAGGCTTGAAATAGTCAAAGTGCTTGCCCAAATACAGAGAATATCGATCTACTGGGTGGTGGAGCCAGGACTCAACCCAAGTCCACCCTACTCCAAAGCCCATGAGGGTCACAACTCCTTGGCACAGGGTCACAACTCCTTGGCACCGGGTCACCTAGAGACTGTAGCTTACTAAAGATGAGCCATGAGGGAGCCTGACCAGAGATCACAGAGCCCTTTAATTCCAAAGAGGCCATTTGGGCAGGCCAACTGATCCGAGACAGCCAAGGCAAGCAGTGCCTTAGTACAGCTTCATGCCTATGCTCACAAAGGGGCTGCCATAAGTGGCCAGTCTGGGGTCTTTCACTTCCCCAAGCATCTGTGATTAGTGATCTTGTTTCTTCGCTAAATCCTCTTAATTTGCATACAGCATTTATCCCTATGGCCTGGCCTTCAACCATGAAACTGTATAGTGGTTAACTTTTACAAATAAAACTATGTAGCTGGGAGCTAAGTAAAACAGAAATAAGCTAGGGGCACCTGGGTGGCTCAGTGATTGAGTGTCTGCCTTTGGCTTGGGTCACGATCCCAGGGTCCTGGGATCAAGTCCTGCATCAGGCTTCCCCACAGGGAGCCTGCTTTTCCCTTTGCCTGTGTCTCTGCCTCTCTGTGTGTGTCTCTCATGAATAAGTAAAAAACTTAAAAAATAGAAATAAGCAAAATTATGCAAGAGGAAATGGAGAAATCCTATCAGGTAGACACTGCCCCCAAGGCACTGGCCAAAAAGATCTAGATAGCCAGGCTGACTGGAGTACTGGTCTATCTGGCAAGTATCTCTCCACTGATGAGAGGGCCATAGACGTCAAGAGAACCCCATTATATTAGACACCCCACTCCATGCCCCGCTTTGCCAAGCATGAGCTGCCTGGATTTTTGTATTCCTATGTGGCTCGGCCAGGATACAGTCTGCATGATGGTGACAGTCACAAGTCTTCCCAATTAATAAACTAGCATTCTAATTTGCATACCCACTTCTGGGAGCTTCTCGAGGTGACTCAGTAGTCCAAGTCCAAAATACTCTGAAAATTGTGGAGATAAGGTTTCTGAATAAGCATAACTAAGAGCTAGGCTTGGGACAGGTGACAAGATGTACATAAACAGCACCCTTTATGGGAAATCTGCTGGGTATCAGCTGGTCCTTCCCAGGAGACTTCAAAGCATCCTCATGGCCCAGCAGCTAGTTTATTTAAAATACTGTCTATAGATAGTATGTAGTAAAATGCTTCATTCCAGCTAATTAAATGCTAAAATATATAGTGTGGAAAATAAATGATCATAGAGATGTAGCTATAAGATGGAATTTTGGGAAAGATTCCCTGAATGTGTTTGGGAAGGGCATTTACAGGTGAACAGGGCCTAGACAGGGAAGAGGGGACAGATGGGGCCCAGGGAGGTGGGAAGAGCTGGGACAGCATGTTTGGACACTCGCCAACTTGTTCCACCCCTGAGGGCATTTCCTGCCTTGGTCAGGGGCCCCACGTAGCTCTGGCCTTCTCTTTCTGTACAACGCCCAGGTGGCACTTACTCATCACTCTCATGTCAGGCCCCAAACTGGATTTGCCACCTCACACTGTCCAGCAATTAAAGACGAAAGTCAATTGATACTTGGGCCTGGCCTCCATGAGCCATCAAGGCTGAGCATGCTCTTTTCCCCTTATCTTCCTGCAGTCAGATAAGTTTTCTATCTTTCCTCCCTCTGAGCAGAGAGGGGGTACTTCTTCCTCTGACAAAGAAAAGACCAAATCATACAAGAGGCTTGCTCTTCCCTTCTTCCCACTAGGGCTCCCAACCAAACAAGTTTATTTATTTTTTTAAGATTTATTCACTTATGAGAGAGAATGAGACAGAGCGTGCAAGTGGTGGGAGAGAGAGAGGGAGAGGACCCCAAGTTCCTAAGCAGACTTCTTGCTGAGCATGGAGCCTGCCCCTGCGTGGATCCTATGACTCCCGACGAGATGATGACCTGAGTGGAAACCAAGAGACGCATGCTCAACCAATTGAGCCACCCAGGCACCTGGCAAACTAGCTTTTTAAAATTAACCGACTTCTTACTCTAGGTTCAGTGATTGGGACTCAGCTTCCAGGCTCCTAAACACTTCACTGCTCTGTGTCTTAGCTTCCTCATCTATACAGGGGTAACAACACCTACCTCATTGGACTACTATGAAGATTAAATGACTTAATGAAAGGAAAGTGGTTTTGGGGAAAAAAAAAATCCTGGCAAATAAATGTTAGGCCTTCAATAATTGTTGGTCATCTGGGCTGCTGCGTATGGTTGCACAGGTGATATACTGCTCAGGAACACTTGGCCTGAGTATGGTAAGGATGGATCCAGCTCACAAGCACTTGCCCAGCTATGCGCCTGGACCATGTCCATCAAGATGAGACCCCAACATGGCATCATAAATGTCACCAAGGTGCCACCCTCTTGCAGAAAGATGCATCTTACTCTAATTCACACAAGGGACGGAACTGGCTAGCAATAGCCTTGGCGATTATTAACAACCCTTGGCATTCTCAGATATATCCCTCTCCCCAGCAAGACTGGATTAGAGGGGGATTGGTCTGAGATGGACTGGTCTCAGCCATAAGTAAGGTCCCGCTTTCTCAGCTCCCTAGCACTCTTGGAGCGCTTGCCTCTCACTTAGGACATTTCTCTGTCAAAACCCCACAGGCTGCACTGCGACCTCGTCCCTACTGAGGGGACTTGTCTGCCCCAAACGTGGAGCCACAGTTTTGTACTCTCTCCTTCCTGACTGCTAGTGGACACCTGCTTCTGCTGGCAGGGATGGCAGTGCACTACTAACTTCTAGTTGTTGCCAAGTTACTCCTTACTTCTGAGTGACAGCTATCTCCCTGCTTCTAATCGGTGCGTCTCTGAGCAAACCTTTGCGTCTGTGAGCAAACTTTTCCTCAAGTGACAGTGCTGGAGATTCCTGAGGGCCATGGCCTCATCCCCCTGGGCTTCTCATCCTGGAGACAAATGCGGGTGGTTCACTCCCTTCTCCCTCACAAGATGCGCTTTGCTGACCCCCCCTTGCCATGCCAGCCCCTCTCCCCTGGACCACTTCCCTTTGGCAGTGCCGTCCTTTGCTGGAGGGGGCCTGGAGGACTGAGCTCACCGTAGGGGCTCTGCTGGTCACTGCCTCCCAACTGAGATGTGTACCTCCTCCATCAGACAGAATCCCCCACCTTCTTTCTCTTTATTGACTCCAGGGCGTTTGAGAAGGGAAAAATACAAAACCAGCTTTCTCCCAGGTAGTACTTTCTCGGGTGGGCACTTTTGCCAGAAGCCCCTGTTAGATGTTCTTCCCTGTTCTTGCCCTCAGATAAAAAGTTCACCCCCACACCCTGGTCTTTGTTTCACTTTGAATCCTGCAGGAGCTGGGAACCACTCCTGGTAAGGTGACAACTTCTGGGATGATGGCATCGGGTTAAAAGTTCAGATCCTTGCCCCCTGAAATCCAGAGCTTGAAATTGCTGCATCTTTGCAAATTACGGAGCTAGGGGATGGCATCTGAACAAAAGCCATCCACCCAGGGAGAGCAGAGAGTCAGTATAACCACTTTATGGTTACCCACAAGTGGAAAATATGAGGGCAGAATGGCCTGGAGCAGCAGCAGGCACAGGGAATTAGCAAACAATGAAAGCCACTTAGGCACGTAGGCTGGAAGGAGGGCTCCAAAGCACAGCCCATTATGTTAATAATAAAGAGGTGAACAGCAGCAATTCCACCTGTGTCTGCCGTGCCACGTTCACAGCTAACCTGGACCTGTGACTGCAGCAGGCTCAGATCAGCTTTACCTGGCAGCCCCTCCGGGGCACAACTGGCTTGTAAAAGGCAAGAAGGGCTCTGGGTCAAATCCAAAAGAGTAATAAGAAAACAGAACAGGATTCTCAAACTGATTCAGATCCCAAAGGCCAGGTTCCAGGATCTGCCCGGCATCTGGAGCTCTTCTAGTTTTGAAGGCGGTTCCTTCTCACACCAGGCAGGGGATGTGTGATCCCTGAGTGGCTCCGTAAAATATCTTCCCCCTTCTTGGCTGGCAGCATTTTGATTTCTAAAGAGGAGCATTTGGGATGGGAAGCCCGGCCTTGGGGCTTCTGAGTCCCATCACCTGGAAGCCAGAAAGCTGGAGACACAGAGGGGAGAGGTGGGGATTGGGTTAAGGGTCAGGCGATTTGCAGCCGCAAGAGGAAAGTCCTGCACTGCGTGGGGTCTCTTCCACTCACAGTCCCGAAAGAGGAAGCTGCGGAGGCTCCCTCCGGCCCCCGTAACCCCATAACTTCACTACCTTAAACCGAGAAAGAAAACAAGCAGCCCTCCTACTGCCTCCTTGCAGGAGCGGGAAGACCCGGGGACCCGGCCCGTCTGTCAGTCCGCGCACGCACGCCGCACTCAGCAGTAACCGGCCGCCGGGGCAGGAGCGACCGTCGCCGCGCGGGGGTGCAGCCAGGAGGCCCGGGGGCCCCGGCCCGGGCTGCAGCGGAGACGGCCGCCCCGCGCCCCCAGCCCCGGCTCCCCTCCACCGCGCCCCCCAGCCCCGGCTCCCCTCCACCGCGCCCCCCAGCCCCGGCTCCCCTCCACCGCGCCCCCCAGCCCCGGCTCCCCTCCACCGCGCCCCAGCCCCGGCTCCCCTCCACCGCGCCCCCCAGCCCCGGCTCCCCTCCACCGCGCCCCCCAGCCCCGGCTCCCCTCCACCGCGCCCCCAGCCCCGGCTCCCCTCCACCGCGCCCCCAGCCCCGGCTCCCCTCCACCGCGCCCCCCAGCCCCGGCTCCCCTCCACCGCGCCCCCCAGCCCCGGCTCCCCTCCACCGCGCCCCCCAGCCCCGGCTCCCCTCCACCGCGCCCCCCAGCCCCGGCTCCCCTCCACCGCGCCCCCAGCCCCGGCTCCCCTCCACCGCGCCCCCCAGCCCCGGCTCCCCTCCACCGCGCGCCCCTTCCCCCCGCGCGAGGCGGGCGCCCTCGGGACTCACGCCGGCCTTCGTCCCCTCCCGGCCTCCGCGGGGACCGCGCCAGCCCCGCAGCGCGCGCGGGGCCCCAGGGCCCGGAGGCCGCGGTTCGCGTCCCGCCCGGCGCTTAGAAGGACGGGGGCGGCGGCTCCACGGCCGGCTCCCGCCCTCGCGCCTCCATCCGCGCGGCCCCCAGCGCGGCGGAGTTACTCATTTCCTGGATGTCACAGAAACTTTTTCCTCCTTATAAGAACAAAACACCCGCCTCTGCAGCGGGCCGCCGCCGCTCCTTAAGGAGGACCGTGCGAGTTGCGGTGAGGCGGCCCCAAGAGGTCGGCCCCGCGCCCCCACGGGAACCCCCGAGAGGCCTGCAGACCCGGAGGGCGACCCGGCGAGTCGGGCTGCGGCCTCCCGAGTCCGCCGGCGCGGGGGGACCGGGGGTCGAGCAGGACGCCCTTAAAAGGCAGCGCGGGAGGGCGGGGGGCGGGGGCTAAGGCGCTGCCCCCGGGCGGCGAGTTCTCCGCGGCGCGTTTTCCTAGCGGCGGGATTCCAGCCCGTCCCCCCCCCCCCCCCGCTTTTGTCCTCGGGAGGGAACTGTACGTCCAGACACGACGCCGGCCCCTTTCTTTTTCCGCGGCTCGAGTGGGTGAACAAGGAGCCACGGGCATCCGTGCCTTGCTCCCGGCCGAGGCTGCACAAAGGCTGGGGGCGCCGCCCGCTTCCCTGCAGAGGGCGCTTGCGGGGCCCGCGCCCGCCCCGTAGCGCGGTTAGACCCCGCGTGTGAAGTTAGGGGCCCGGGAATCGGGGCCGGGAGGGCCGGCGGCCGCGGCGCCCAGGTGCCCCCCCCCGCCCGCCCCGGGTGCCAAATCCGTAGCCTCTCCTCCTTGTGACCCGCCGGCTGTCCCGGCCAGGGGGAGTGGCGGCCACGGCTGGGACAAATCGTGCATTAAGTGGCTTTGGGGGAGGCCGGCACGACGGAGGGCAGCCTGGGGGAAATGAGGAGAACACGCTGTCCAAGTGGTCATCACCACGGCCGCTGCGGTGGGGCCTCCTGGGTCACCTATGCCCTTCCCTCGTGGAGCCAGCCCAATAACGTGAACACTCGCCTGGAAGACATTAGGCTGAGTCTGGAAGATAAACAGGCAGTGAGACAAAGTGCTAAAAATAGACCCCCTGGCCCTTGGCCCAGGTTACTCTTGTTTTCAAGCTTCTGCTTTGCTCCTAGCGCTTTCCTTACATCAGGGACAGTTAGGCCGAGTTTGGGGGGCACTGATGGGGAGGGATGGGGGAACGGGCTTGCAGGGGCCAAGGGCAGGCTGCTCCGAGACGGGCCCATTTGGCCCGAACATTATTTTGAGTTAAAAGCAATGGAACCCTGCCTGGGCAGATTCTGGAAAAGCTCTTTACCTCCCCCTCCCGGGGGCAGGCCAGCGCTAGGAAGAGCGCTATTAGCAGGAATTCCTCTTTACCTAAGAAGCATAATGAGGCAAGCTTTGTTTTCCAAACTTCTCCTTTCACCATCCTGCCAATAGTCTTTCTCCCTTTGTAACCTCAGACCCCAACCCCTCTCCTGGGCTCACCTTGGCTATCACTGTCTTTGGAATTTCCCTGTCTGGGTGGGATCCCCCCTTACAGAGGCACCTAAATGCGATTTTCTCCTGTTAAAAAAAATCTGCCTCGTGTCAGTTTGATTCTTAGTCTTGCTAGAAGGATCTTGAGGGGCAGAAGAAATTCTTCCTCCTTGACTCCAGGAATCTAGGGAAACGTTTGCGAAAGGGCTATGTATTGCCAAAATGTCTGTCAAGTTGGATGGGTGGGGTACTCCTTCTCCCCAAAGCAGGCAAAAGGAATTCTTGGAGGGTAGGGACACTGACCTGAGCACCTCTACACTGCTTTATAATCCTTGGGGTAAGAGTTCAGGGTTCTGTATGCTGGAACATGAAGGTTAGTACTCGAATGCCCTCTGGGATTGTCATCCTGTGTGCAAAGTCGTTCTAGCAATTTCTAACCGGCTGTGTATATTTATTTATATAAGGAATATTTATTAGATTTGTCTTTCTTTCAAACCAGATGATTTCACTCTGAGTGACCTAATGGTCACCTGCATTGGCTCCCCTCTGCTTTCAGCACAGAATCCACCATCCTAACCTGGCACACAGGCTGTTCATGAATTAGCATCTACTTACTTTGATGCAGAAAAAAGATGTTAGGGTTCGAAGGCAAGGGCCAAGAAAGAATTCTTGAGACATCTCTGGTGCGAAAAGGTGGTTTTGTTAAATGTGGGGACAAGACTTGTGGGCAGAAAGAGTTGCACTGAGGTCACTGAGGAGTGGCCCATTATATACCTTCAAGCTGGGAGGGGATTAGAGAGAGCCTTAGCTCCCAAGTATTTTGGAAACAAAGTTTCCAGGATCCTGAGGGGGATAGCTATTGTTAGGTAAAGGTCATTTATTATTATTTAGTAAAAACTCACGAGACCCTTCAGATGTATGTATGTTATCGGGTCATATGCTTGGGGATGATTGCCAACAAGTATCTTGGGGGTGAGGGGTGGAGGGTAGAGACAAAGGTTTCCAAAGGAATTTTTATATGGTAAAGTAGACTTACAGGGTTCTGGGGGTCGGGCTAAGATTGCTTTTTGCCCTTAGCAAAGTACCAACATCGACATCAAGGCAGTTGAGTCCCTAGAGGAATGTCACTCTGCCTGTTTCAAGGACTTGTCCATGGACTGTAGGTAGTAAGGGAATTTAACAAGTTTTCTTCTGCCTTTGTTTCCACATCAGTTTCACCAACCTCATATCTCACTACTCGTTCCACACTGAACTCCTTGTAGTTCTTGGAATTCATGCTTCTCAGAATGTGATATGGGATCTGTTCCCCGCCCCTACCCTTAGATATTCACAAGTGCTCTATCTTCTCTGCAACCGTCACCCACCTCTTTCTCCAACCTGTCACTTCATGCACACATGCTTTTTTTTTCCTAGCTAAAGGGGACTGGGTCTTCAAAATTGGCAATTTCTCTTCCAGGAACTCTTCCTTGAACCACCACGCCGTGGTTAGAATCTCCCTCCCCATCATGTAGATTCCATAGCACCTTGTGCTTACTCTAGAAAGGGTTTTTAAAAGACAGGAAAGTACAAAGATTCAACTTCTGGGAACAGTAGTGATCAAAGAGTTCATGACCCTCGGCTTCAAACACAGAACAGCTGAAAAAAAGATAGCAATGACTGAAAGGAAGAAAGGGGGAGCCCTAGGGTTTATGCAAGAAGAGAGAACTCAGAAACACCTCGGGAGAGTTGACTTATTTTAAATAAACCCAAATGGCTGACTGGAGTTCAGGACTCATTCAGTCCTTGGGTTCTAAAAAGGTAGGGATCTGCCCACAGTTGGGACCCTGCAGAGGATCTTAGGGACTAGAAGATGGAGAGAAAAAATTCTCCCACTCATCCAGGGGCCCAGCAAGGAAGTTTGTGGTTTGTCTGTCTGGGGCTTTGGATGAACTGAAGTTGTCTGTTGTAGAAATGGAAACCACTATGCACAGATGTGAGGCCTTAATCTACACAACTGGTGTGGGGAGGGAATCCTGAAGTCAACACAAAGTATCAAAGCTGGTTCCAAAGTGATGACTTGGTCCTGTCAGACGTGAATGCAAAAACCTAGCTGTTTCTTCTGATCTCTCACAGCACAAACAACCCTCATTGAAAATGAGCTTATAATGAGAAATTATAAACTAGGAAATGAACTGCATGAGGAATAGGATTGGTAGGTGTAATAAACAGGAAAATTAGACTCTTAAGAACTTGATACAATAGAACAATTTTTTAAAAGATTTTATTTATTTATTAATGAGAGAGAGAGGCGAACAATTTGAAGAATACTATAAAATAGTTCTGTTCAAAATAATTACAAAGATAAAATTATAAGAAAGATAAAAAACAGTAGAACATAGCACTATGAAAAAAGAATAGGCAAATTTGAAAAGTACAAATGCAATATGTAGAAATAAAAAGTTTAGTCATTTACACTAAAAAAATCTAATGGTTGGAATTTTCTTATTAGGCAGTAATAATGTATCAGTCAAAAAGCCAGTAACAATAACTCATTGAAAAGGGGAACAGGTGTCTGGGTGGCTGTCTACTAAGTGCCCAACTCTTGGTTTCGGCTCAGGTCATGATCTCAAGGGCCTGAGATGGAGCCCTACATTGTTGGGCTCTGCCCCTCCCCCTGCTCCTCTAAATAAATAAATAAATAAATAAATAAAATTTATTTTTAAAAAGATTTTATTTATTTATTCATGACACACACACACACACAGAAGCAGGCACCCTGTGGGGAGCCGGATGCAGGACTTGATCCTTGACCCCAGGATCACCATCTGAGCCAAATACTGAGCCACTCAGGTGTCCCAGTAAATAAAATTGTTAAAGGGGGGATAAAGAAAAGTGACATACTAATCTCATTTACAAATACTCCTTCAGAAATCCTAACTAAAATATTGATACAGAATTTCAGCAGTATATCAAAATGTAATTAAACACTTCTGGACACCTTGGTGGCTCAGTGGTTGAGTATCTGTCATAGGCTCAGGTCGTGATCCTGGGGTTTTGGGATTGAGGCCCACATCAGACTCCCCACAGGGAGCCTGCTTCTCCGTCTGCCTATGTCTCTGCCTCTCTCTCTGTCTCTCATGAATAAATAAATACAATCTTTAAAAAGAGAAACAACTTCTGTAGCATGATAAAAATAAAAGGTGACATTTGGCCCCCCAAACCAGTGTCCTGCTTAATGAAGAAATACTAGAAACGTCATGTTCAAGTTAGTGCAGGATAAGGATGTCTTCTTTCATCTTTTTTTTTTTTTTTTGTCAATTTGGAGTGTGATTGGTTGCAAGTAATAGAATACTGACTATAATTTCATATGTGTTTGAGACTACTAGAGAATTAAAGAAATAGGGGATTTATTTTTCTTAAATGAGAAGTCTGTATAGAGGTGGCTGCTTTGGTTGAATCCTTCGATATTTTTGGGTCTGGTCAAAGGTGATGTACATATTGCAAAACCCGTCCTCCAAGGCTGTTTTCAGTTTAGACTGCCATTGATAAGGTATGTGAACAATGTTTCCCCACATCCTTTCCAGCACAGGCTATTTCCTTACTTCAACTAATGTGCTTCTTTTTTATTTCTTCTTCTTCTCCTTTTCCTTCTCCTTCTTCCTTCTTCCTTCTTCCTTCT